CGGCAGGCCCCTGACCCTTTGTCCAAGAGTCCTGAGGTGGGTCCTGGCTCCCCCCAGCTTTCAGGCACCCTGGTGACCCCACTACTGGAGCTGCCCCAGCCCGCACAGTGCCGCTACCCCACTCTGGAAACCGGGCACAGGCTGATGCAGGGGTCTCGCTCATGGGCTGGGCCAGCGGCAGGGGATGGTTCATGGAGATCTGGGTTTGGAAATTCGGCTCAGCACTGAGTTACCTCCATGTCCTGCAGCAGTTTTTATCTCCCGGGGAGCCTGGCTGGGAAAGTCTCGAGGGCAGATGGGCAGGAAGGAACATGACTCAGCCAAGCTCCTGTGCCCCAAAATGGCTTGGGGCGGCTCGCCGTGCAAAGGGGGACTGCTTTCCGGGATCAGGCCCGGAGACAATATCAGGGGCATTCCCTGGCCAATCCAACCGCCAAGAGTAGACAGCAACTCCAGTAGGACTCAGCCAACGGGGGCTAAAATGCCTAGCTCCAGCTCTGCTCGAACCCCTCAGACCTCCGGAATGACTTTTTCCCAACCCACTGGACACTCACCTGTGACAATTAGTCGGGTCCCACTCCCGAAGTTCGCATATGCATAAGCAGCTAGGCCACAGTAATACACCCCGGAGTCGTTTCTTTGTGCATCTGTGATAATCAGAGAAAACGTGTCCGATGCCTCATTCACCTCACTCGAGTATTTTCCATCTGAAGGTGCATTCTTATAACTCTGGAAAATCCCATGCAGGCTTCCATTCTGAAGCTCTTTGTACCAATATACATAAGCACTCCCGGTTGAGAGCTTACAGTCTATCCGTGCAGTATTTCCAGGGGCCAATACAATCTGGGCCGGGCTCTGTTGGATCCACATCCCTTCCTGTGAAGCAGTCACTGTAAAGAGAAATGCACAAAAAACATGAATACAATAATCACTTGTAGGAGACTCACCCTTTGTAATATATTCAATATAACACATCCGATGTAAGCAAACCCCTGTTATTTTAAAAATTGGAGGTTGGTGAACCTTTTTTTTTTAGTTATTTATTTTCTTAACCTTCTTATATATAGTTAAAAAAGATGTAGCTGAATTTTTTTTCTGGTGTAATATTTTTGCCATGTTGTTAGGTGCCGCATAGCTGTAACATAAACAATAATCACTCGGTATGTATAGAAACTAATCAATCCCTTTGCACATTTACATCAATCTCTCCTCAATGTACTTATCACAATTAATTAAGCCTCACAGCCATACTAATAAATAATACTTATTGTGACCTGACATACTGATATTATTAGGACCGGATGGAAATTAGCATTGTCTTATATACATAACTATAATCCCCCTTCCCAAAAAAGCAGACCAGTTTTTCACACTTCCTCTCTGGTCACCCTAATAATATTTGGTACTTGGAACCTGTCTCCGAGTGTACAAAGTGCTTTACAGATGTGAATAAGCTACGCTTCAGAATGTTCCTGTGAGATGGTGAAATATTATCCCCGTGTACAGATGAAGAAACTGTCACAGGTAAATGAAGAGGCTTAGCCACAGTCCCACAAATCAGTGACATGATTGTGAATAAAACCCAGATGTCCTAGACGGCATGGTAACCTCGAATGAGAGTTAAAAACAATAACATTAATTCTATTTGATCAAAATTTTGCCCAGAAGACATTCAGGTTTAAAATTGTCGTTTTGATTATCTAAAAACAAGTACTGCCCCATGATGCCTACATAAAATACACGTGCTTAAGAGAGGACTTGATTTTGACCAACAGCCCGTTCCAATATCCAAAAGGTGAAACTGTGTGCAACAGGTTGTTAGCACAACACATTATTTCATTCTCTCTCTCTTAGGATTTCAGCTGGAGAATAAAACATATGACTGTTTAGCTCTCCCCATCAGCCTCTCTTGCTGTTACCCACAGTTCAGAAGATCTTTGCACATGAAAATAATTTTTTGCAGCAAGGTAGAGAACAAGCATGAAGTATCAAGGTAAAATACTTACTCTGCAGACAGACTAGAATCATCCCAATGATCTGGTAGGACATTTTCTGGGTTTCTTCAGTCATGATGCTGTGAGAATGGTAGATGCCTGCTAGCAAATGGATCTCTTGATGAAAGACTTTATCACGTGAAGAGGAGGATGTCATGTTTCCTCTTAAAGTTCTGTGGGGGCAACATGCCTGACAAAAAAGAGGGCTAGGAGATATTAACAAACCCATTTGAAATCTGACTCTGACAACCAGCAGGGTAAACCAGAGGCAATCATATTAACTTTACTTTAAAAGTTCATTAAACAACAAATTCCAGGTCTGACTCCGCGACAACAGAGTGTGTATTTCAAATGGAATCTTTCATCTCATAATTGGACAGATGTAACAATACTGTCTTTGAACTGAAAAGTATGTGGATTATTTACTGTGCTTCAGGGTTTCAGACTGTCTTATGTATTTGGGGTATATTAGCCCCAATAAAGAGGATAAGGCAGATCCCCCCTGCTATTTTAACAAAGGATAGAGGAAATCATCAAAGAGACTTGTTGTAGCCTGTGGAAGTGGAGGAAATGTAAAAAATACCTCACCTTGTTTAATTATTGTCATAGACGATATAAATATTTTGGGAAGAGGCCTTGGAGGAAAGGAATGAAAGCATCTAGCAAATGGAAACATGATAGTGTAACTCCAGTCGAGAAACAAACTGATTGTGTGTCACATAGCTCTCTGCGTATTGCGTGTTCCTGGCAATAACATTCAAAATTATGTAGAGAGAAAAAGATCTGAAACACAAACCGTGAATTTCCAGTTCCTTTGTTGTAAACCCTTTTCGGTCATGTATTCGGAAACCTGGCCATCTTCTCTATTTGAATATTTTAAATATTTTGACTATTTAAAATCATCTGGAAATCATGTCTTCTTGCTGTCAATCCCCATGGGCAGTTGAATGCAGTATGACAGAAACAGCCACACACACCTCACTAGCCCATTTCTCATTTATGAGACCAAGGCTCTTTCAACACCGAGGAAATTCAGCAGACAGCTGAAACTGATTCTTCAGGGAGTAGCCAAATTAGTCTGATACAGAAAAAACAACAAATGGTCTGGTAGAAAAAGGGAGGAGAGGTAGGAGACAGAGCATCATTAATTATGTGGATGAAGCAAAATGCAGGACAATGTAGCACTTTAAAGACTAACAAGATGGTTTATTAGATGATGAGCTTTCGTGGGCCAGACCCACTTCCTCAGATCAAATAGTGGAAGAAAATAGTCACAACCATATATACCAAAGGATACAATTAAAAAAAAGAACAAATATGAAAAGGACAAATCACATTGCAGAACAGAAGGGAGATGCGGGGTGGGGGAGGGGGAGGAAGGAAGGTAAGTGTCTGTGAATTGATGATATTAGAGGTAGGGAGAGTGGGATGTTTGTGAGTTAATGGTATTAGAGGTGATAATTGGGGAAACTATCTTGGTAATGGGTGAGATAACAAACATTTGAACTAAGTCCTTGTTGGAAAGTGTCGAATTTTAACATGAATGACAGTTCAGAGGATTCCCTTTCAAGTGCAGATGTAAAAGGTCTTTGTAGCAGAATGCAGGTGGTCAAGTCATTGAGAGAGTGTCCTTTCTGGTTAAAATGGCAAGAAACTGTTTTCTCTTTGTGATCTTGTCTGATATCTGTTTTGTGGGCATTAATCCTTTGGCGAAGTGTCTGAGATGTTTGTCCAATGTACATAGCAGACGGACACTTTCGGCACATGATAGCGTAGATTATATTTCTGGATGCGCAGGAATATGTGTTCTTGATCTTATAACTCACTTGGTTAGGTCCAATAATGGTATCAGCAGAATGAATATGTGGACAAAGCTGGCAACGGGGTTTGTTGCAAGGGAAGGTACCAGGGTTGGTGGAGAATGGGTACTTAAGCTTAAGCAGATAAAAATCTAAGTAGAGTCCCCACCAGCCCATATCATGATTGACAGCAAGTGGCTGTGTTGTCACAAACCAGCTCTAAAAGCCAAATACACAGAGAAGTCCTGGAATCCCAGTTCATCCACAAATTCAATTCACATGCTAATGGACTCAATCATGATATGGGCTGGTGGGGACTCTACCTATTTAATAACCATTAAAGGTGCCAACAGCTCCCAGAGTGGTGTCCTTCCTGTTGTAGGTATCTATCAATTGACTTTGATTTTTATCTCCTTAGGTGTAAGTACCCATTTCCAGATACTTAATGATGCTCTGTCTCCTACCCCCCATCCCCTTCCTTTTTCTTTCTCTTCCCTCTCCTATTTATTTATTTTGTGTTTTCATATCCCCAACTCATAACTCTGGTCATCTGAAGAAGTGGGCTATGCCCACGAAAGCTCATGATACCATAGACATTTTTCATTTGTCTATAAAGTGCTACCAGACCATTTGTTGTTTTTGCTACAGATTGTCTGTTGCTTTTGTTGTGGGGCATAAAAATGTAAAAATTATAGAAAGTAGCTCTGGATGGTTAACAGACAAGTTTAAATTTTAAAAACGTGGTATTTTTTTCATTTTAGGTGATAAATCTAATTGGCAACGAACCACTCGGTGTTAATATAATTTTTTTATGCATCTATATGATTGTTTATGAATAGCAAAATGTCTTGTGGGCTTTAGTAAGTCTCTGGCTCTCCTCCCTAGCAGGGATAAAATCTCGATTTGGGGTTGAGATTTTGTTTTTTATAATTTTGATTTTATTATTTTACATGTTGGGTTGTTTAGTTAGTTAGGCTGGTTCATTGCGGAGAAATGTTTGGAGGGCTTAGGGTTTGTTCGGGTTTTTTTTAACTTCTTCCTTTGCTTTTTTGGGATTTTTTGGTGGGAGCAGCATATCAGTATGGAGAACTGCAAAACCATTTGCAAAAGCTGAGAGCTGGCTGCTGGGAGATTTGCACCTGCCTGTTGCTGCTCTTGTTTTGTTTTTCACACAACAAAGCCCTTTATTTTTTGTTGTATCTGAGTACCTGACATGCAGAAGTAACAGAAATAGCAAAATATCTTGTGGGCTTTAGTAAGTCTCTGGCTCAACTCCCTAGAGGGATGAATCTCAATTTCGGGTTGAGATTTTGTTTTTTATAGTTTGGATTTTATTATTTTACAATTTGGTTTGTTTAGTTAGTTAGGCTGGTTCATTGCGGAGAAATGTTTGGAGGGCTTAGGGTTTGTTCGGGTTTTTTTTAACTTCTTCCTTTGGTTAGCTGGTCTTTTTGCTTTGTTTGTTGGGTTGGGCTTTTTTGGAGGGAGTGCGGTATCAGTGCGGTGAGTATCAAAACCATTTGCAAAAGCCGAGAGCTGGCTGCTGGGAGATTTCCACTTCGCTCTGGCCAGTTTCTACTTGCTGCTTTTGTTTCTTTGTCACACAGCAAAGCTCTTTCTTTTCTTATTGTCTGTGGTCACTTGTTGTCGAACAGTTTTACCATACAAGGGCCAGCCTTTGTAATGAGCTTCCTGGCTCACTGAACCACAGGGGAAAAAATAGCCTACATGTATTTGTAATGTGCATCTAAATATATCTCCTTATTTTTCTTTCTCTTACCTTCTGCATATCATCTTAGCCCATCTATCAAGAAAAAAAATTAAGATGCATGTGTAGATTTATGGCCCTAGTGTGGCAAACACTAATACTGTGCTGACCGTGAGTAATCTCATTGACTTAAAGTGAGTACAGTGGTTACCTGGCATACGTATTTGCCTGAAATTGCACGTGTGAAGGCTATGTGGGCCATATCATGCCTTCCATGAAAAGACAGAACAATATGGTGCAATAGCTTTTGCATTTTCTGTCCCCTATGACAGAGGCTCTACATCTTTTCAGACAACTGCACTCCATTGAGGAGTCTGACTTGCCTTGCGTACCCTTTACTTGCCTTACTTCCAAAATTGGGCATAAAAATAGAAGTGTCACAACACACTGTTGCTGAACAATTGCAGACTTTCTCCTTTTTCCCCATATAATTATAAACTTAATCAATTGGAATATAAATACTGTCCTTACTAGGAGACTTATCTGGCATTGCTTGGGTTCAAACTCCAACAATTTTTGGTTTTCTTCACTTAAATCATGGGGTGGGGTGGGGATGGGTGGTTCAGGTATAGGCTGCCCTTGAGAGAGAGGACAATCCCAGCCCTCTCTCACCACGGTAGATTGGAGACGGGTGAGAAATGTCTCTCTGTGGCCACAACAGGTGCAGTAGGCACTGCTGGTAGAGGGGCCCATGTCCCCGGCTGGGGGACAGACAGACACACAGACAAACTCTCTGAAATATATAACAGATAGCTGTCCCTTTTGGGCCCCCTGCTAGCCCAATGAGGTTATAGCTGTCCCAGTCCCCATCTCTGGCCCTTTGGTGCCCCCTGTGGTTATTCTGCAGTATAACTGTCCCTCCTACCACACCCCTCCCTTTCCAATTTATGAGAAACAATCAGATTCCAGGCACATCCCTTTATCCTGGCACAACCAAACCATGACCTTGTTTTAAGTTATGATAAGAGGAAGCAGTGTATTAAATTCGGTGGTCCTAGCTCTTACCATTTAGAAGGAATTGTTGAGCAAACAGGCTCACAGATGGATGGACGGACACACAGAAAGATGCACAAATCCTTTTAAATAGATGGCAGAGCAGTATGAACTAGTCATTGTGTGAAATTCTACTTTGCACTGACTTTGCTGGTGTTTTTTCCTGCAGTTTTTATGTGGTTTACCCAATGTAAATAATGGTTACCCCAGGGTGGGGAAGGGGAGAGCAACCACCATGCATATCTTTCTTTCATTGATAAAGAGGATGAACTTATAAGCTTTCTCTGGGTAAAATGTTTTTATTGAGGTTTTGATCTTCTCTGGGGCTGTGTTTCTGGGTGTTATCAATGGCCTTAGAGCTGAACCCTCCCAGAGCTGAGCCAGTTAAGCATCTGTGTTGCTGTGTTGGGGGACGGTAACCCCAACTCTGTGCCTTGGCTGGGGGAGACCAGAGGGTCTGGCCCAGCTGGACAGCATGGAGGGGAGCTCCAGAAAGAAAGGGGCAGGCTCAGTGGCATGACCAGCACACCGGGTGACACCTTTAAAGGGACCCCTGTGATCCATCCCATCACAGTGTGGTTTCCCATAAAACTAGGCACATATTTAAATGAGTTACTGTACCCTCTAGATAAGCTCTGTGTACCCCGAGAGTCATCTGAACCATAAGAGATTTGGAGGGTTAGTTGGGATCAATCTCTGGCATGCTTTGGGTTATGATTCTGCAGTTCTCACTCAGGCAAAATTGTACATCACTGGGAATTTTGCCTAATGAAGCAACAGGTTATAACACAGAGTTTGGAAATAGGGCTGGAAAAATCTGACCCAAACATCTGATCCAAAGAGCTGTTTCATTCTTGGTTTGTGCTGGGCTGGAAATACTGTCTGCAGTGGTTTATCTGTTTTTGTTTTCAGCTCAGAGCAGGGAGGCAGGAAGTATTTTCTCAGCTGGCCTGTTCATTTCTCAACTGTTCCGTTCATTTCTTCTGGATCACTTGGCATTGGCCACCGTCAGCAGACAGGACACTGGGCTATTTGGATCTTTGGTGGGACCAAGTCTCGCTGTTCTGATGATCTTAACCAAAAGTTTTCAAGCCACAGGGGTGTTTCCATTCTTGCCTCAAAATGGATTCCTTGAGGATCCCCTCCATGATTTTTCTGGGGACTGAGGTAAGACTAACCGGTCCATAGTTCCCTGGATTGTCTTTGTTTTCTTTTTAAAAGATGGGCATTACATTTACCTTTTTCCAGTCATCTGGGATCTCTCCTAGATCTCCACGACTGTTCAAAGGCAATGGCAAAAGGCTGTGCAATGGCATTTGCCAACTCCCTCAGTACCCTCGGATGCATTAAATCCGGACCCATAGATTTTTGTACGTTTAGCTTTTCTAAATAGTTCCTAACCTGTTCTTTCCCCACCACGGGCATATTGCCTCACCTAGTGCATTTGTCTGGGAGCTGACCTTGTCCATGAAAACAGAGGCAAAGAAAGCATTGAGTACTTCAGCTTTCCCCACATCATCCGTTAGTAGGTTACCTCCCTCATCCAGTAGGCAGTTGTTTTCAGTAAAAAACAAAGAAAAAATTCATTGTTTCAGATCTGGTTTTCCATTGAAAATGGTTGCGATGTAAAATCTCCCACCAGCCTCAACGTTTTGCTGGGTTGTCACTAATTCAGGATTCCTTAATAACGCCGGTGGTAAGAAACTCCCTTATCCATTTAGAGCTTGGTAGGAGACTTTGCCCTCACTCTAAGGCAATAATTGGTCATAGTGGCCCATGCTTTTACCACTCACAGACCGGATTGTTGGGATTGAAGAGAGGGAAAAAATGGAAGAGCAAACGCGTCCCTGTACACGGTAGAGTTTTCCCGGAAAAACTCTTGGGGTATGTCTACACTGCCACCCTAGCTAGAACTAGGGTGGCTAATGTAGGCATTCGAACTTGCAAATGAAGGCCGGGATTTAAATATCCCGGGCTTCAATTGCATGTTCCTGTGCGGGCGCCATTTTTAAATGCCCGTAATTCGAACTACCTGCCCACAGCTATACTCGGCACGGACTAGGTAGTTCAAATTAAAGCTCCTAATTTGAACTACTGTTATTCCTCCTGCAAGGAAAAGACCATCTGCCTCTTCACCATTAGATGGCAGTGGGATGCAGGTATCTCCTAATTTCTTCTACCAGTAGATGTGCTTAGCTTATGATTTGCTATGATGCTTCCCTTCATTCAGCCAATTCATGCAGGGCTTCAGATTTACTGTACGCTGAAGGCAGCCAGCCACTGAGTAAAAGTCAGATCTAAATCTCTTGTCCCAGGCTACCAACACAAAGATGGTACGAATATATTGGAGTAATTAAGAATACAAATGTAAAAAATGTAAATAATATTTTTTAAATGATGATAATTGGAGATTATGCAGAGATAATCCTAGAATCCTAGAACTGGAAGGGAGCTTGAGAGCTCATCGAGTCCAGTCCCCTGCCCTCACGGCAGAACCAAGCACCATCTAGACCATCCCTGACAGGTGTCTGTCTAACCTGTGGTGGAGATTCCGCAACCTCCTAGGCAATTTATTCCACTGTTTAACCACCCTGACAGTTAGGAAATGTTTTCTAATGTCCAACTTAAATGTGCCTTGCTGCAATTTAAGCCCATTGCTTCTTGTCCTGTCCTCAGAATTTTCTCCTTCCTCCTTGTGACACCCTTTTAGATATTTGAAAACCGCTATTATGTCTCCTCTCAGTCTTCTCTTTTCCAAACTAAAGAAACCCATTTTTTTCAGTCTTCCCTCATAGGTCATGTTTTCTAGTCCTTTAATCATTCTTGTTGCTCTTCTCTGGACATTCTTCAATTTCTCCACATCTTTCTTCAAATGTGGTGTCCAGAACTGGACACAAAACTCCACAGGAGGCCTAAGTAGAGCAGAGTAGAGCGGAAGAATGACTTCTCATGTCTTGTTTACAAGACGCCTGTTAATGCATCCCAGAATCACGTTTGCTTTTTTTGCATCTGTGTCAGACTGTTGACTCATATTTAGCTTGGCTTCCACTAAGACCACTAAACCCATTGCAGCAGGACTCCTTATAGACAGTCACTTCCTGTTCTGTATATGAGACACAGATTGTTCCTTCCTAAGTGAGGCACTTGGCATTTGTCTTTATTGAATTTCATCCTATTGAGCTCAGACCATTTCTCTAGTTTGTCTAGATCATTTTGAATTATGACCCTATCTTCCAAAGCATTTGCAACCCCTCCCAGCCTGGTATCATCTGCAAACTTGACAATCGTACCCCTTGTGCAAACTTCATAAATTTATGAAACATCATAAATCTTAAAGTTCTGTTCTGCTTTCTGGTGTACTCTAAGCTCCCATCTACTTCAGTGGGACTTTGGGGGGCACAAGGAATTTAGGATCAAATCTCCTTTGTTAAACAATCCCATTTAAAAGTTCGATCCTATGCTCATAGAAGTCAAGGGCAAAGCTCCCACAGACAAAAATTATGTAGGATGTTGGGATAAAAAACAAGTAATTCGCAATAATAACCAAAAAGAAAAATATTTCTTCAAATATGCAGTGACAAAAAAGGTTTGGAGACAGATACATTTACAATAAGTTGTATTTTAAGCCCAACCACTTCACACCTTAGTAATAAATTAGACTCAGAATTTATCTTTCACTTTCATTTTTTTCCTCTTGTACAGCGCTTTTTAAAAAACTCTGTATATAAATTGGTCAGACCACCTCAGTTAAAAAGGGAGTTTTCATTTATTGTACCTCACCGCTGCATATTCAGTCTGAAACAGAAAAAGTAGATACCAGTTATTAATGGTCTTAATGTGAATCTATAACTTCATACATTGAGCTAAAACCACTTTTTTAGATAACAAGACAGGAAACCAAATTCTGTTCTTACTCTCAATGATATAATAGTGAAGTAACTCCTCTGAAATCAATGGAGTTACTTCACGTGTAGAGGAAAGAATTTTCTGTAGAGATGTTTTATAGACAAGAAGTTAGATTCTGATCTAATCTACACTGGGGTAAATCCCCACTAGCTTCACTGAAGTCAGTGGGGTATTACTAATGGCAGAAAAGTGTGACCCTAAAGATTGCAGTAGTAACCACAAATTAAATTCTCTTCTCAGTTACTGCAGGACAGTCCCTGGGACTGGATTAGTATCGGGGCATCAGCTTCAAGAATCTGTCCTTAGAGCCATTCCATTCTAAATTCCTATTTTCACTCTTCACAAAATTCCTAGAAGGATTAAATATTTTAATGCTAGACTGGGCCTCGTGTGATTTAAAAAAAAAATGTTTGCTGGCCACCAATTTTCCTGCTTTTGAATTATGAGACACCAGTGAGGAGCTGAGTAACTTCACTAATGCCGATGGAGAGTAAATATGCCCGTGGAACTCAAAGCAACATTTGAAAGTGTATAATCATGTATCCAGATTTTTTTTTCCTGGTCCATGTAAAACTCATAAAGAGACCTATCAAGTACTGCTTCATGCAGTGTAACATGGTCTAAGGCGCACTTCCTGGTCCAGGTAAATCTATGGTGCAGCATAATTATAGTTAGCCAGATGTTCACGTATTGTCGATGTGGCCAAGTTTTCTGCAGTCCCATAAAGTTAGTTTACAGCCACCAGTCCTATCTCCCATGATTCTGTGCTGTTCTTTAGCTCTAATTTATCCCTAAATGTCTTCTAAGAGCCCAGTAAGTGTTGGTAATGCTGCTAGACAATATTGACCTCATGTGGTCCGGCAAATTCTCTAGGTCAGCTCCAGCCAGGTCCCAAGGGTGCCGGACTATAGAGGTTCAACCTGTACAATAGGAATTCTACACTGGCAACCCAACAAAGTATAAAAAACAGCTAGTGGGTCCTGTAGCACCATAGAGACCAACAAAAGAATGAGCTGTCATGGGCACAATCCACCTCTTTATCTGAAGGTTTCTTTAAGATACAGACTTCCAGGGCTACCACTCTGAAACCTTACAGAGACATATCAGGTAGTTGGACTGTGAACATCAGTGCCGGAATTTGCCTAGGAGAACTAGTTAAATACCCTGTTAATTGATTGTATCTTTCTGACATGCCTGTGGCTGAAAAAAACACTTTACCTGTGGAATCTGCCTCATGGGCATTTGGTTCCCTGTTTTCACAGTTCTCCCTGCTGGAGAAGAAGGAAAGGACGGTTACAAGATGTGCGATGAAGGGCTGCTGTGTGGCAGATAGGGTTATAAACAAGTTACCTTTGGTGAGACGCTTCCTGAAGAGCAGGATCATCATCTGGATGATGACAAGGATGAAAATACAAAGCAGGCCAAAATATAACACATAATCACAGATTCCTTCCTCGGCCTCATCTGCAGAGAGAGGAGAATAACGTTCGGTGCTGAGCAGTGGAAAAATCCCATTAAAAGGCGTGGGGTCCATGTCATCTGCATGCCATGCCCAGAAGTGAGGCCTTTCCTTCAAAATCCACTGCCTCAAGGCATTGTCACTCTCCCCACCTAGAGGTGACCTTTGGGGGGCCCGTAGGAGTCTTTGGCGCTGTATTCAGGCCACTGATTGTCTGAGGTAAGTTATGAGTGTGTATTTATTAATTCTTCCTGCCTGCACTGTCAGTTATTTTACCACAAGGGGTGATTTATTTCATCCTGACAATCACGGATCCAGTCTGAGAATCACTGTCCCATTGAGGGCTGTGGTGAGTTAAACATCCTACCATCATAAATGTTAGAGAAAGCAAAGTCCTGTTATAGGTCTCCTGGAGTTCACTTACCTGCCTAATCCGTACAGTTTAACGCATTTTGGGTTGTGGGCCGTTGACCCACAGAAAAATCGGTCGGGGCCACACAGAAGTGAGAAGCGAAGGAAAACCAAAACAAAATAATCACTGACATGGCCCCCGACTGAGAATCAGAAAGACTCTTCCCAAATTCCCCTTGCACAGCAGAGCTTACAGGGGCCTGATCTAGTAGATTTTGTGGGGGAAAAGCCTTCAGGCAGTGGTTTGCTGTGCCAGCCGGGGGCAGGGAGAGAGACAATTCATAAAGCTGTTTCCTCACCCCAACAGGCAGAGCCATGGATCGGTTCTGGCTCTGGCTTGCCTGAGTCCAGCCCATGAGGCTCACAGCTGTTCCCCTCACTACAGGGAGCCCAAGCTGGCGCTCTAGCTCCATGCGGGGGAGAGGGGTGGCAAGACTGTGGGATTGGAGCTCTAGCAGAAGCTCCCCAGTGCTGGGGGACAGAGCCCGAGCCTTGGGTGAGAGGGGTAGATCCAGGCAAGCCCTTAGGTTCCCCACCCTTGGTTTAACCCTAAGCTTTATCAAAGCCCTTGAGTTCCCCACCCTTGGTTTAACCACTAAGCTTTATCCAGTCCTACTGTAAATAGGCCTTCATCGCTGTCAGGTGACAGACACGCCCACAGCTCAGGAGATCTCACTATCGGGAATCCTGGGTATTCATACTGAAGTTAGTTATTTATTCATTCATGTGCTCAGTTCACCCCATTATCCTAGCTGTTCCATCTTAGAGCCCCCAAGTCACCCTACTGTCTCCGTGGCATTTACACTCCTCCCACTCTTGGGGTGATCAGGCCGGACACCAGACTGAGTCAAGCCAATAGGAATCTTTCCATTGACTTCAGTAGGGTGTCAAGCAGGCCTGCAAGGAGAAAGATCTCGGGGCAGGTTTGCCACAGCCCTGCCTCTTACCGCTGCTCAGTGAATACAGCTGAAAAATGGTTTTTAGAGAGAGCGAAGAAAGGCGGGGGACAGGGAGTTACCGTAATGGACTGACTCAATTCGCTGTGGTAGCCATATGGCTCCCAGGATTTTAAATAACCAGGATCTTAGATATGGGTGAGGTAATATCTGCTACTGAGCCAACTTCTGTGGGGCAGAGAGACAAGCTTTTGAACTACACAGATCTGAAGAAGAGCGCTGATTAGCTCGGCCTTGTCCAATAAAAGATAAAGCCCGATCCACCATGTCTCTCCTACAGGCCAAGCCCAGTAGGTCAGAGAATCTTAAACTATGTTCTGTGGAACAGTGGTGTTCTGTGAGCAACTTGCAGGTGTGCCGCGACCTCTTCTTTGTTTTTGTTACTTCTTTGTTTTTGTCTTTTCTTGTCTGACAAAACAATTTTTTGATGAACATTTTTATAGTGTTCTGCAGAAAAAGATATTATTGTTTGGTGTTCTTTGGTGTCAAAAGGTTTAAGAAACACTGTTTAGATGGGGGTTTTTTATACCTCGTCCCCACTCTGCCTCATTTCAGTTCTTTGGCACTGCAGTAACCCTTTAAATCTGTATATTTGTACTGACTTGAGGTGACGTTTGTACCAGACACTATGGCGATGAGCACAATGTAAAGGAGAGAACAGGTTAGATAGGGTACGATACGGGACCTGTTTGCTTGGCCATGGTAGCACTGATGTTTCTCCCCGTGCTGTTGTCTTTGACTGCACAAGTCCAGATTGTCTCCTGGTTCCACCTCTTGTATGGGATTGTCGTTAGGCTCCAGACGCTGTAGATCCCATCCCCATCTATGGCTCCAGCATCCATCTGGCCCGCCAAGTCCCCCTCCCCGGTGTCCCAGAGAACGCTCCAGGTGGGAGTGAAATCCGAGATCAGGCAGAGCAGGGGAACGTCGTGGGGAAACTCAGCTTCCTCCCGGGTGGAGGGCACCAGGAGGGAAAGTCTCAGCTCGGAGGCATCTAAAAGAGTAAGAAACAAGAGATTGGAAAGACCAGCCAGCTAGTCCCTCCTCCCCCCAGCTCCTGCCTCTGTCCCTGGATTGTGCATTGGCTAGTTTTGTCTCCCATGTTTTAAATAGTGGGACTTCCCTTGCATGAAGGCGGAGTTCTCTTATTAATTTCATCCTGTTACACTCCTTTGTCCACCGCTCCTGGATGGTCTCAGAGTTCTGGGTGCCTGCTGAGGGCAGAGACTCAAAGATCCCTCTTTACTGCATCCTATTCGCATGTAGAACTCCTGCTGCCCTGTTCGAGATTTCTCTGTGCAAGCCACCTGATGGCAATCATTTCAGGAAACGCAACGAAGGTCTCGTAAAGAGCTATATTAATACAGGTGCATAAGGCCAACAGGAAGACGCATCACGCCCCGGACTCAGGCTGCTGTGACGAGGCACAACCAGGGAGGGTGAGTAGCAGAGGGCCGGAGAAGAATAATGACTCAGACCAATGCACCTCTCAACAGTGGATAGATCTCAAAGAACTCTGCCAAGGCAAGTGAGACTCATCACCCTCTTTTAGAGGTGGCCTACTGGGCGACTAGAGCTTCAGGATGACAAAGTAGATTTCCTGATTAACAGTCTCATACGGCATTCACTACCGTGACCGTTTTCCCTCTTGGAGTGAACACTGATGACTCAGAATCAAAATGGGGCTTTAAGTGGGTGGGGGGTAAGAGTCCAAGGTTCTATCTAAGAACCAGGGCTGTAGCCAGAATGGGGCAGCCTCACAGAGAAGCGGGGGGTGGAAAAATCTTCAGAAAGGAAAGATCAGATAAGAACATAAGAATGACCACATTAGGCCAGAGCAAACATCCATCCAGCCCAGCGTTCTGTCTGCTGACAGTGGCCAATGACAGGTGTCCAAACAGGTAATGATCAGCGATCTCTCTCCTGCCATCCATTTCCACCCTTGGACAAACAGAAGCTAGGAACACCATTCCTTATCCATACTGGCTAATAGCCATTAATGGACTTAACCTCCATGAGTTTATCTAGTTCTCTTTTAAACCCTGTTACAGTCCTATCTTTCACAACCTCCTGAGGCAAGGAGTTCCAGAGGTTGACTGTGCACTGAGTGAAGAAAAACTTCCTTTTATTTGTTTTAAACCCGCTGCCCATTAGTTTCATTTAGTGACCCCTAGTTCTTATATTATGGGAACAAGTAAATAACTTTTCCTTATTCACTTTCTCCACACCACTCATGATTTTATAGACCTCTATCATATCCCTCCTTAGTCTCCTTTTTTCCAATCTGAAAAGTCCTAGTCTCTTTAATCTCTCCTCGTATGGGGCCCGTTCCAAACCCCTTATGTTATTTGCCCTTCTCTGAACCTTTTCTAATGCCAATATATTTTTTTTATATGAAGAGACCACATCTGTATGCAGTAGTCAAGATGTGGGTGTACCATGGATTTACATAAGGGCAATAAGATACTCTTCGTCTTATTCTCTATCCATTTTTTAAGGATTCCTAACATCCTGTTTGCCTTTTTGACTGTCACTGCATACTGCGTTGATGTCTCCAGAGAACTATTCACAATGACTCCAAGATCTCTTTCCTGATTAGTTGTAGCTAAATTAGCCTCCATCCCACCATCATATTATATGTATAGTTGTGGTTAGTTTTTCCAATGTGCATTACTTTATATTTATCCATATTGAATTTCATTTGATGTTTTGTTGCCCAAACACTTAGTTTTATGAGATCTTTTTGAAGTTCTTCACACTCTGCTTTGGTGTTAACTACTTTGAGCAGTTGAGTATCATCCGCAAACTTTGCCACCTCACTGTTTACCCCTTTCTCCAGATCATTTATGAATAAGTTGAAAAGGATTGGTCCTAGGACTGACCCTTAGGGAACACCACTAGTTACCCCTCTCCATTCTGAAAATTTACCATTTATTCCTACCCTTTGTTTCCTGCCTTTTAACCAGTTCTCAGTCCATGAAAGGGTCAGTCCATGAAAGGATCTTCCCTCTTATCCCATGACAACTTAATTTACATAACAGCCTTTTGTGAGGGACCTTGTCAAAGGCTTTCTGGAAATCTAAGTACACTATATCTACTGGATCCCCCTTGTCCACATGTTTGTTGACCTCTTCAAAGAACTTTAACAGATTAGTAAGACATGATTTCCCTTTACAGAAACCATGTTGACTTTTGCCCTACAAATTATGTTCTTCTATGTGTCTGACAATTTTATTCTTTACCATTGTTTCAACTAATTTGCCTGGAACTGATGTTAGACCTACAGTCTGTAATTGCCGGGATCACCTCTAGAGCCCTTTTTATATATTGGCATTAATTAGCTGTCTTCCAGTCATTGGGTACAGAAGCTCATTTACAGGATAGTTTACAAAGCATAGCTAGAAGTTGCGTAATTTCTCATTTGAGTTCTTTCAGAACTCTTGCGTGAATGCCATCTGGTCCTGGGTACTTGTTACTGTTCAGTTTATCAATCAATTTCTAAACCTCCTCTAATGACACTTCAGCTCCCTCCTGTTCCATCAGCTCGGTCCCCACAAGGGTCCAAAAGGCTCTGCCAAGCTCTCCAGGGACCTTTGAGGTCTCCCCATACCCGCCTTGCAAGCTCCTCTTTGACCACAGCTCTGGGCTTCCCATTTGCCGGGAACTGATTTTAGACCTACAGTCTGTAATTGCTGGGATCACCTCTAGAGCCCTTTTAATATATTGGCATTAATTAGCTGTCTTCCAGTCATTGGGTACAGAAGCTCATTTACAGGATAGCTTACAAAGCATAGTTAGAAGTTGCATAATTTCTCATTTGAGTTCTTTCAGAACTCTTGCGTGAATGCATTCTGGTCCTGGGCACTTGTTACTGTTCAGTTTATCAATCAATTTCTAAACCTCCTCTAATGACACTTCAGCTCCCTCCTGTTCCATCAGCTCGGTCCCCACAAGGGTCCAAAAGGCTCTGCCAAGCTCTCCAGGGACCTTTGAGGTCTCCCCATACCCGCCTTGCAAGCTCCTCTTTGACCACAGCTCTGGGCTTCCCAATTGCCTCCCCTCTCCAACTGCTCTGCACCTGGCTTTAGCCACCCTTGTCCTTTCCCTCCCCTGCAGGCCCCTGACCCTTTGTCTAAGAGTTCTGGGGCAGGTCATGGCTCCCCCCAGAGTTCAAGCACCCTAGGGAGCCCACTCCTGGGGCTGCCCCAGCCTGCCCAACGCCGCCAC